TTTTTTTTCAGGACCATTTCAGAATCTTTTATATTTTTTCTATAAATGTCTAAGAGACATGTTCATGATTTGATTTCAAATATGTATAATGAGCCATTTATCTACATAATTACCACGGCGCGTAATTACGGATTTTTTCATTTTTAGGAAGAACCGATGAAGAAGAAGTCAGCAAAGGAGGAAGAGGTCATGCAGAAGAAGACAGTAAGAGAGGAAGAAGCTGCAGCACCCACCAAGGAAGCAGCTGCACCTGTTAAGGACATAGCTCCTGAGGAGATTGCAGAGCCCGTTTCGAAGACTAAAGCTCCTTCGCCTGCACCTGAAGAAGCTCCCCAAGAGTCTCCATCTAGTCCAGACAAGGAGGAAGAAGAGCAAGTTAGAGAGGAAAGTCCTGCGCCTGAGAAACCTATGGAAGAGGCTAAAGAAGAGGAAAAGAAGGAGGAAGAAAAGTTAGTAGTTTAAAGCGTTATCCACGTGGCTGAGAAAAATTCAATAAAATGTTTTTTTGCAGACAAGAAACCGTAGAAACCACGGCTACTCGCGAATCTGAACCGGTGATGGAGGATAAATTGTCGGAGGATGTTGATGAGACAACTCAACAATCGCAAGAAAGTGTAGAAGTCAAAGAGAATGAGCCAGAGTATGTGAACCATGGTGTTTTACTTATCTCTGCTCAAATTACGCTTTACAGGAAACCAAAACCTGTCGAGGAGCAGCAGAAAGAGGAGAAGATGGAAGAGGAATCTAGGGGTGAGTATTTCATCGGATTATCTGTTATCTTGATTCCTTTCCTTCTTATCAATATGCAGATTATGCATCTGATAGGATGACCTGTGCGAAGTTGAATCATTCATATTTGATTTTACTTACGGAGGTTCCCTTTTTAGCTTCATCTGTATCGAAACCTGCAGAAGAAAACGGAGGTAGCACCGCTGGCGATCATTTGGAGGAGCTGGACTATGGAGAAGCAGAGGTGGAAGCCGAACCAGATGCTGACGACAAAGAAACGAAGGATGAGGTGTGTATATATCTTCGGCGCTATTCCACATTAGTTGACCCAAAAAATGAAGA